CACAGCAGCGCCGCCAGCGCCAGCAGCCGCATCGCCTCGCAGCCTGCCCGGCGCTGTGACCCAAGGAGCGCCGCCACCACCACCGGCCCGGCCCTAGTTGTGCCCGCGCGTCCGCCCCCGGCCCAGACCCCCGGCCCCGCCTCCACCCCAAAGCTTGGCCCCGCCCCTGGTCCGCCCCTGGTCCGCCCCTGGTCCGCCCCTGGTTCGCCCCTGCCCCCTCCCAAAATTGGAGCCTTCCACCCCGCCCCATCACCGGCCACGCCCACCACCTGCCCCGCCCCTGGTCAAACCCGAACCTAGGCCACCCTAACCCAGCAGAATATGGTAGCCTGCCCGCGGCTGAGAACTGACCTGGCTGTGATCGGTGTGTGTGTGTGTCCTTGATCCCTAAGACAGGGTCCTGGGGACTGGGGTTGAGGGGCGGACTTCCTCTAGCAAACCCAACCTGAGAGCAAGCGGAGGACCTGCACTCACTCCTCCGGGGCCTCTGTGACCCCAGGGCCACTGAAAAGCCGAGGATGGACCAGGGTGGGGACCCCTGGAAAGAAAAGGTCCACGTAGACAAGTCCAGAATCCAGTGGAAACTATTAATCAGTGCTGTAAACTATTTTATAGCACCCAGGGCCAAGTGACTTACAGATGTTTCTAGCTCCTTCCACTGTGAGACCCAGGACAATTCTTAGTCTCCTTGTGCCTCAGTTTCTCCCATCTGTACTATGGGATCCACCCTGCTGGGGGTTAAAAAGACTAAATGAGAAAGTCCCTTAAGGTGGCAGCCAACACCTGTCAGGACTGCTAATATTATAGATAGGGACGCAGAAGCAAGAGATAAAGGAACAGACTCATGTCACAGCCAGGGACCTGCAACAAGGCCACCCGGCCCAGTCACTCTGAGCCAAAGCCTGGTCTCTTCCCCAGGTCATAAACTCAGGCTCTGGGCCCATCTGAGCAGCTGAGTCAGGATCTCTGCACAGGAAAAGTTTATGTGAGGAATGCTTTGTAGGGTCTTCCAGAGGGCATTGTGAGCTCTCTACACCCCAGGCACACCCTGGTCCCTGAGCCAGGGGTGGGTGTCCTCAGACTAGAGCCCTGGGCTGTGGAGCAGGCCCTGCAGGGACTGAGCTGACCGGCAAGGCAGCCCTAAGGGAGAAAGCAGCTCCCTCCTAGGCAGGGGCAGGAATGTGGAAGGGCACGCGGAGCTGAGGGTGGCTGGCCTCAAGGTTCCTGTGTCTGATGCTGAGGACAACTGAATAGCACAGGGACATCTGAACCCCACCCAGGCTCAGGGAGACCTGGAGACCTGTCCAGGGTTCTGTCTTACTGAGAACTTGGATTCTGATGGCGACAGCCAGGGGCCCGGGAGTCTGAAGCAGTGTTTAGCAGGACCAGGGAGGCGTCCTAGACAAGGAGTACTAGTTGTGAACACAGACTGTATCCCATACTGAGCAACAGCTTTGAGTAGAGGGGCAAAGTGACCTCTCTGAATACTACTTCTCAGATGAAGGTGACATCTGTGAAATGGCATGTGGGCCTGAGTTCAAGTGCACAGGGCTGGGGAAGACATGGAGCAATTTGACGTCCTCAGAGACCTCCACCCAGCTGTGCTACTTGCAGTGACTTCCAATTAGCGGAGATGTGTTGGCCACACTTGGAGAAGTCAGGCATTGCTTTGCCAGTGTATGTTTCTAACTACCACCCTCTCCTTTCAAAACTGAGATGACGTCCAACCTGGCCACTCCTTGCCCTGTTTTCTTTTTACCCACACTGGTGTTTGCTGGAAGTTTGGGGCTGGAAAATGCTTTGCATGCAGTTCTGGGATACATAAATATTGTGCCATTCTCAGCTGGGGCCTCTGTTACTACTATTCAATTTCCCAAGTAATCTGGTAAAATTTGTTGGTGAATGGTATCCTGAGTTTATCCAGTGGCTATGGGAAGCACAACCAGTGACTCTTGTGAGACTCATATTTCTGCCCCGCCAGTCTACATCAATAGAAACCTCCTGATCTTTCTCTATCTCCACTGCACGCCCATCCACAAAATTAGGATGATTAGAAAACTTGCATTGACTGTTCACCCAGCTCTGAATCTATCAGGTCTGCCTTTCTCCCCAGTTAGAAGAATAATACCTACTTACTTTTATAAAATTATCTCTATTAAAAATATCTCTACCTGGCATTCCTGTATAAACACTCACACTGCTATAAAGTTGATCCAGGATCCCATGGATGTTAAATACTCAACTAATCTTCAACTCTAGTCACTACAGAGGGAATCACCCCAAAAATCCAGGTCTCTCAGGATTAGTGCAGTCTGTGTTTTGAAAACAGATACCTTCTCTTTGGTGATAGAGATGAAAGAGCCTGGTGTGTAGTCAATGTGAGTTTATGTACAGCAGATATATCCTAAACTAAGAGCACCAAGAAAAAGCAACACCTCAGGTGTCCAGCTGATTTCTACTTGGTGCACTTCAGTTTGGATGTATCCAGGTAAGTTTGAGGATTTTCTCCTTCAGAATGCTCTCAGGTATGTTCCAGCTCAAAGCAGTGTTGCATGGTTGAACTGTCACTAAAAGAGAGTGAACGAAGAATAGACTGGATAGAAGAGGTTTTCAGCTATGACCCACTGTGGGAGGACAGAAAAGGGATTGTCATTGCAGAGGAGGCATCCATCCATCAATCAGAAGGGACAAGTAGCAGGACTTTGCATGGGACCTGCAACAGCATCTTCTTCTGCACAGCTAGGAAGGGTAGAGTGCACTGAGTTTTCCCCTAATGATAAGGAAATTTGAAGCTTCAGACCAGACAGATCAAAATAGCTAGACAGAAATAGTGCCTTCAAATCAACTGTGTTGGTGGCCCCAGTAAATGGGCTCATTCACCATCTTAGCAATGATTGTAAGCTTGGTGCTGGGCTCTGCAGGGTGGCTCGGGGTGGCTACCTGGGTCAGCTCCCAGGAAACAGAAAGGAAGGGGTCCAAGATTCCTAGAGGGCTCCAGAAATAGGAGAGGTCTGGTGTACGAAAAAGCTAGGAACTGGACAAGTCACCTACCTAACTGACCACAAGGAAATTTACCTTTGAACTGACCACTGATGCCCAAAACTAAAACCTCATTCCACTCCTTCTACTTTCATTGAATAAAACATCAAATGGGCAAAAAGACAGACTGAGTAAAGGAAGTTAAAAAGATGTAATATGTGATCCAAGTGGGGTTTGGGAGCCCATTGCTAAAGGACATTATTATTGCTTTCTGACACATTTTAATATGGATAGGCTCTACTTTATACAATATAAATGTTAAATTTCTTAAATGTGACTATGGAATAGAAAGTTTGTTTCTGGGAGCTCCTCACTGAAATATTTGGTGTTTACAGACAGGATGTTTGAAAATAACTCTTAAATAGTTTAGCAAAAATAGAAAATCTATCATATGAATTATATAATGCATATATGGAAAGAGACATAGACATAAGGAGAGATACACAAAATGAATCTGGTAACCTGATGAAGCTAGATGAAGAATACATGGAATTCAATGCAGTACTCCTGGAACTTCTAATACATTTTCAATTTTTTTTCCAAGAAAAACTTAAAAATAAAAGTTTGCTTATGACTAGGCATGGTGGCACATACATATAGTCCCAGCTACTTGGGAAGCTGAGACAGGAGGATTACTAGATCCCAGGAGTTCAAGCCCAGCCTGGACAACAGGTGAGATACCATCTCAAAAAAAAAAAGCTCATGAACTTTAATATATCCCACTTTCTTTGATTTATATGTTGATCACAAGCATCCTATAATTAGGATCACATATATCATGAAAATATTTATATTTCATTTAAAGTAGATTTCAGATGTTTTGTGACTCTGAGAAGACCTAGGCTTCCAGCCAGTTCCCATTCTAGACTCCTAACAATTTGGCAATAGGTGATTAAGACCTCTCTCTGTATATCTCTGTACAGAGAGGCAGAGACACCCAGCTTGGAGCAAGTCTAGATTAAGGATATTATGAAAGCAATAGATTGTAAGCAACCAGACACAGATGACCATCAGCCTGTGGGTCCTGACTCACTTTTCCAGCAATGGGGGAAGGATCTTATCACCATGGGAAGACTCTGGCCCCCATTTGGCCCCCACTTGGCCCCCACTTGGCCCCCAATTCCCATAAGAGGCAACTTGGTTTCACTAACCATCGCATAAAATTAATGCTGTAGTTTGAGTTTTATTGCTGCTGTAATTGTGCGTGTTTAATTTATAAATGTGTTTTTGTTTTACAGTGGCAAGGCTGCTATAAACTTGGATGTTTGTGTTTGTGTCATTTAGATCGATTCAACAGCAATAACTAAAGTCAGCACAGTTTCCACCAAATATGCCTGATCTTTGAAGCCCAGGCCTCCAGTTTGCTCTGTGGCAGAGATGCTCATGCTCCTTTCCTTAAGCTGATGTGGGTGCTCCAGGGGCTGTGGCAAATCCAGCAGCAGAGTGCAGACAGAGGAGGATTGGTTCAGCATCCTTTGTGGACAGTCACATGGAGTCTTTGTTCTCTGCCTCACACTAGGCATCAGCACGGACCAGTGCAGAACAGTGTGCATGAGTGTGCATGTGTGCATGCACACACACACACACACACACACACACATACACACACTTCCTCTCACATCCATGCATGAATACTCCAGGTCCTTCCTGGTACCTGGCTTGGAGGTCTGGACCTGGCCTTTCTGTGAGCCTCTGGGTTCCATCTTTCCTACAGCTCAGCCCATCCTCATTCCTATGCCCAACTATTTCTGTTGGGCTCTCTCTTGGCCTCCCAGAGAGTTGGAGCATTGGAGGCCCAGAGCACTGTCACACACTCACACATGCAAGTCCTTGTGCAAACTCTCTGGCTTATGCCCATAGGATGCTGCTTGCTTGGGGACACCACCACTCTAAATTGGCCAAAAGTCAGCAGCTCAGTTGCAGATATATTTATGTTTTCCCAACACTCGTGTCCATGGACACTTATAGGCACTCACCATTCACTGTATGCCTGTGCTTCTAAGGACCCTCAACCAGGAAGCCTGCCTACCTACAGGGCAAGTCTCCCATGGCTACCTTTCCACCTCTGGCTCCTGCTCCCCAAGATCTAGCTTA